TTGAGCCTTACACAGCATGGGGGAAGGCCTGGGTTCAACCCTCAGGAGACGGGATGGGGGAGAGACGGGGGGCAGGAATCATATAATGGCAAATGCAATAACCTTAAAGCAACTAGGCTAAGGTGATATCATCAGATCAGATTTTAGACATGACCTTCATAGTGCTTCCAGAAGCTTCTAAAAATCTAAGGACAAAGACAGCTAAACAGTAAGAGGGCAGAGCATTGGCTATACAAGCAGGCGCAGTTGCATTAGCCTTGAAACTGACTTTAGGGCCATCGAAACAGTTTGAAGGAGTTTAGCAGTATTCAGACCCTCACAGTAACCTCGAACGCACTACTGATAGGGGTGAAACTGAGGCATGGTGCTTGGGTCACATCTCAAAAAGGCATCCAGCAGGAGCTGGGATGGAGAACCTCACACTGTCCTCCCTTCCCAGCTCATGACAGTATCAGAGTGGATCGAGAACAGCCACCAGGGACAACCATGAATACCCAGAGCACCAGCTCAAGTCCCTCACACACTGTCCAACCCTCGCAGCAAAGCAGGGTGGCACACACCAACTCCAGCCCACAGATGAGAACCAGGCACGACGTCCGGCAGATACAGAATGGGGCAAGAATGGAGTGGGGTCCTAGGCGGGGTGACACCCGGGGGCAAACAACTTCAACAGGAGGGTGGTTTGGGTGCGGGAAGACGGGAGCTAACTCAGATGATGGAGGCTGAGGGTGGAGGCAGGAGGGCCTGTGGCAGCCTTAGGAGACACAGAGCACAGGGACTGGTAGCCACCACAGACAGGCTCCATGGACCCGGCTTCTTCACCAACTGGAGTGGGGTGAAGGAAAGCACATGCCCTAATTCCTGGAGTTTGGTCTGAGAAACCATCAGGGCAAAGGATTTACTTCCTGGGATGGAGGCTGGGGGTAGGCTGGGAGGGGGAGACATTCTGGCAGGGAGGTGAGCCAGCATCTGGGGGTAGGGGTGTTTAGTTCTGGGGATGGTCACAGTCGTCTCACTTCTCGATGGTCACCATCCAGTGGGTGGGTAAGCAAAAAATGGCCCAGCTTGTGGTGGAAGACTGCTCAGCCATGGAAAAGGAATGAAGTATGAACTCAGACTATGATGTGGAGAAACGTGGCAGCAAGGGAAAGAAGCCAGACACACAGGGTAAGACGGGCTTTCATCAACACAATGCATCCAGAAAAGGTAAATGCACAGAGACGGAAAGGGCTTGTGGGAGAGAAGAGAGGTGGGCAGGGACCATTCAGGGGACTGGACTTCCTTCTGTGGTGATGTTACAAGCTTACTGGTGGTGACAGCTCAACATTTGAATACACTTTGATTTTCATTAAAGTCACAGTGGACGAGGTCAAAACAGGAGTGAGACTAGGAAAAATCCCGGATGGAACCAGGTGCCTATGCTCAGAGGTTGAAACATAAGAAAGGGGCAAGGAACCAAGAACTGGTGGCCAGAGAGGTGAGGGAGGCACCTGTCACTTCAGATAGGCTGTGTCCCTCCTGGCCACCCAGGGTCTCCCAACCACCCTGGGACAACCCCAAGGCCCTTGCAGACCCATCAAGATCTAGAAGCTTGGAGAAGCAGAACCAGCAGCCTGCCAGGGCAGAGCAGGCCAGAGCAGGGCCACACCAGGACCAGGAATCATCAGCAGATGTCAACCAGGTCCCTCTTAGGGACCTGCTTGCTGCGTACCAGGGCGTCACCCCAACTCTGAATCATCTCCCTGGAAATACTGATGGAAAATTCAACAAAGTCTGAAAATGCCAACTGTCTATCCCAAGCCTGGACTGAAGAGCCGAAATAGAATGTTCTGGCTATTCTTAGGCAGTGTTCAAGTTCAGCTTTTGGGGCTGTTCCCAAAAGGCTTTCACTCACGCCTCTTCCTCTCCTTCCCCAACAGGTTCCCTGACCCTGCAGCCTGCATTGAGTGTTTAATGGGAACAAGGGGGCTCACAGAGCTGGGGACATCTGTGGGGGTGTCAGAGTCTGGAAGGCCAAGGGGACAGGGTAGGGGTTCGAGTCAGCTACAGGGCTCACGGGGTCATCTTTTAGAATGCCCTGGAAACTGTGACAAAAAGGAGGGCCTGGGAGGGTGTGAAGGGCCCTCAGCCTCACTGTTTGCTGATATAAATGTTCCACTGACGGGTGCCAAGGCCAAGACACTGAGCAATTGTCAGGCGGGAAGCATGTGTGTCCCCACAGGACTCTCAGGCCCTGCTGGCTGGTCCCCAGTCAACTCTGGCTCCCAGTACCCACAGCTTGAAAGGAGGAGAGAACAGCTAGAAGTGGGGGGCAAAGGCAGGCCCTCCTCCTGCAGCTGCCCCATCCCCCTAGAACAGGAGTCCTGGGGGACTAAGCTTCATCTTTTGGGGACAAGTACAGGCCTCACATGCAGCTTCAAGGCAACCTGTACACACAAGTCCCCACTTACAGGTTACTGACCCATGTCACAGAATCACAGGTTACTGGAGTCACTCAGCCTTTGCCAAGACCTAGAAACCGAGAGGTTAACAGTTCAGCCCAGCACTGGGGATATGGCTGGGGTTTTTTCCTCAAGGGTCAGATGTTCAAGGATTAGAATCCAGAAAAGCAGACCAGGCTCTGAGCCATGAAGGCAAAACTACCAACACTCCCAGGCCCCGTTTAATGAGCTAGCAAGGTCTGCAGACTTAACACTCAAGTGCTGTGGTGGCTTAGTTCTCAAAATACTTCTTCAGTAGATGCACCATCCGAGGGACCTGAGGCGGGACTCCAGGAGACTGGTCATCAGTAGTTCATGTGGTCTTGGGCAGGCCATTTCCCTAATCCGTGACCTCATATGTAAAACGGGACACTGTGCCATCCTGATGGCTATGGGTACATGCTCAGTTCATAACAAGCCCAGAAGTACTACTGTCCTAAGTCCTGCACCACAAAGGAGAAACTGGGGCATAAAAAGTATAGCTCACTCAAGATGCAGGGCTAATAAATAGCAGAGCTGGAACCCAGACCTGGGCAGCCATGGCTACAAAGCCCAGCCCTAAAGCAGGGCTCGCAAGGGCCAAAAAGCGTGCAGCCAGGCTCTGCTGGCCAGCGCCAGTTCCTCTTGAATATTCTGGTTTCGTTTTTGTGGTTGTTTTGCTCTGTTGGTGATCTTCACAAAAAACACAAACTCCATTCTTAGCACTCAGGACACACCAGCAGGCCACAGACTGGATCTGGCCATTAGGCCATGGTTTCGCCAACCCTCTCTCTAAACCCCACAGTGCACCTGAGTGCTAGGAATTAATCTGAATGCAAAATAAACAGTGAACAGAGCCAGGGGCAGCCACAAAGGGCCAGCCCAGTCCTCAAGTCCCAAGTCCAGCTCCGTATGCAGCTTCTGAGCCCTGACCAGGATCCTACTGTCCGTGTGGCCATGGGAATAACAGAGGACACAGCTGAGCTTCCGCTAAAGCTCCCTGGGAGGTGCAAGTAGCCATGGACTGGAAGAAGCGCAGGGAGAGCTGAGCCCCATCGCCATGGCTACACATGTTAAAGAATCATGTCCCAGGCTGAGCAAGCATGAAGGCCTGAGTTCAATCCCCAGCATCCATGTAAAAAACTAGGCATTGTGAAACCTGCTCTTGTAATCCCAGCTCTGGGGAGGCAGAGACAGGCAGATCCCTAGGGCTCAATGGTCAGCCAGGTTAGACCAATCAGTGAGTCCCACACCCCAGTGAGAGATTCTATCTCAAAATTCAAGGTAGATGGGATATACACATGTACACACACACACACACACACACACACACACACACACACACACACACAATCATGTTCCCAGAAGTGTTGATGGCTCTAGGTCTGGCGTTCAGATGTCCAGGTCACCCACCTGGGTGGGTGTAGAGTTCCCTAGCACCCTTCCCATCCCCACCCTCCACTTCATGGAGAAAGGACATTAGGAGCAGGTGCTTGAATGAGGCACCAGCAGGCAGACTGACCTGCTAGCAGGAAATCCAGGAACTGTCAGACAGGCTACAGGACAGAGCCAGGGCCAGCACTGGCCAATAGCCATTTGCAAGGGCTGGGCAGGCTGAAGTGAGCAGCCGATGGCGGCAGAGCCACCCACGAAGCTTTGGACCTGCCCAACTACCCACTCTGAAGCTAAAGATGGAGCCGTCCTGGGACGCCCCCCCGACACCAACAGACAGCAGGTCTGCTCTGGGCTGTTAAACCAAAGCCAAACCAGGGTGGCTGGCTGGGAAGGAGGTGGCAGGTGCTTCGGCAGCTATGCCAAGCCATCCCCTGCCCTCCAGGAAGAGCCAGGTTTCAGTATGGGGCTGTCTGCCCCCTCCTAGGGACTATGGGCATATGGGCTCTGGTTACTTGTTCAAGGTACAAGTCTGAGTGCAGAATAATTGGTTGAAGCACACAGCACCTGACCCAGATCTCAGCCAATCAGAACACGGTCCTACTTGGCTCTCTGTCATGGGAGCAGAGTAGAGTTCAGGGCCCTGTCTCAGCCAATCAGAACATAGCACTACTCAGCCGTGATTGGCTCAGGGAAAAAGCAATAGTCTAAGCTGAATGGAAGATGATCAGAGGTCTAAGTTGATGTTTCCTATGATTGGTTCAACATGACTTGGACCCAAACCATTTGGGGTATGCCATACCCCCAGGCACAGATGGCCACATCCACAAACAGCCACAGCCAGAGTGACTCTCAGGCATCCATCAGAACTCGAGAAGTTTGCTGTCTCCTGCTGACTTTAAACTTGACAGGGTGTGAAGCCAGATGCCTGAGCCATCTGCTGCCTTGCTGGAGATGACGTTGTGTGTAGAGGCCCAGAGAACAGCAGAGAAAGAGGCAGGGGCTGGTTTGGGCTTAGCCTGGCTCAGGGCCAGCTCTGCCACTAAGCATCATGGCTCCCTGAACTAACTCATTCTTTCATCTGAAAAGGCCTGGCAGAGCCGGGCTTCCTGCCATTTCCACTTAGGGAGAGGAGCGAGTGAGTCTCACCTTCAGCAGGAGCGGGTACTTGCAGATCCTCTGGATAGGGGACAGCAGGTATCCCTCCAAAGGGATGTCCGTGGTCTTCCTGCCTCCCAGAAGCATGCAGCTCTGCAGGGGGACAAGAAATGGTCATTAACACTGACCAAGGACAGCCGGGAATGTGGGAACACTCTCGCAACAGAATGCAGTGTAGACAAGCACTCGGAAACAGTCAGAAACCCGAGGAAGGGGGACAAAGTTTAGAGCCCTATAGGAGTCTGTATCAGGCCATGTCTGGGGCCTGATCTCACCCATGCTGTATTCAGGTGTGGCCCCACAGGGCCACACCAAACACGGGACAATGGCAGAACTCCACAGAGTTGCAAATCTGAAAATATTGACTCTGGAGACTTCGACAGACAACTCTGACATTCTGGTCTAGACAAACTTGCCACACACATACACACCTGAGAGGGACCAGGGATAGTCAAACTGCCTTACTAAGACTGAATAAACTGAGAAGCACCCTAAGTAGCCAACCATCCACCAGAGAAGGGAGAGAAATGTTTGTATTTTTGTTTAAATTGGTAGAACATTTCTAGAACAGGACCCCAAATGACCAGTAACACAGGAGAACCAGGGCCACACAGAGCAACACAAATAAACCCTCAAACTTCCTGGAGCAAGCAAACAAATCACAAGGCTACGAGGCACAGCCCCACTTATAAATCTTTTTTTAAAGACATTAAAAAAAAAACCTAACTGCTATGGGCTTTTATTTTTTACTTTTTATGCCTATGTATGTATTTATATGTGTGTAAGTGTGTGCTTCATGTTGTGTGGGTGGCTGAGGAGGCCAGAAGAGGGCATCAGATTCCCTGGAAGTAGAGTTACAGGTAGATGTGAGCCACCCAACATGGTACTGGGAACTGAACTTGGGTCCTCTGTAAAAGCAGTAGGTGCCCTTAATTACTGAGCCATCTCTCCAGCTTCCTAACTTATGTTTATGAAGAGTATATCAAAATTTGAGTAGAAAACATCCAGATTCCAATAGACTAGCCTCCTGGCTGAGGTTAAGGAATTGAGGAAGCTTACCTAGGAAATGGACTCAAGCTTACCTAGGAAATGGATGCTTAGTGCTGGTCTGTGACTATCCTGACAGGTAGAGTTTAGAACTGGGCCTCTAAAGCTGTTACCAGAACTCCCATAAATACCATCTATATCCAAGCTGATCAACTCAATGCCCCCTACAACCAGCCCCCAGGAGCACCCTGGCCTTAGCCTCCCACCCACAGGGCCTTCTTCTGCCCCATCGATTATAAACATCATACCAACCATTCTCCGGTCAACGTCCCAGAGCCTGATTTCCAGCCACCCTGAGAACTGAAAACTATTCCCATTCATAGTGTGGACATTGGAGTGGAGGGTGGTCAGCCCTTCACCCCAAAACTAGTGAGCCACAGCTGCAGTACAGGTATGTGTGCCCACACATGCATGTGGAGGCCAGAGGTTGAAGTCAGGTGTCTTCCTCAATGGATCTCCACCTTATTTTCTGAGGCAGGGTCTCTCACTGAACCTGGAGCTACTGCTTCAATCAGGCTGGTTGGTCAGTGGTCTCCACCTCCCCACCACTATGATTACAAGCATGTGCACCACCGGCTTTTCTATGTGGGTCCTGAGGGATGGAACTCACGTCCTGTGCCTGGTCAGCACTTCACTGACTCCTCAGTCACCCTCAAATTTCCCTCCACCTGAAGCTTCCACAGCCACTGGGGCTTCTGGAAATCTACATGTGCCATGTGTCCCAGGTAATGCCCTCCCCTTCTGAGGGGTTCTGATCTTAGTCATGTTTCAGACGTAGGAGGCAGGCACTGTGTATCTGTGGTCGGCAGTCCTGGGTCCCTAAGGTTCACAGTGTAGTGTACATACGCCACCCAGCAGGTAGGAAAAGGGACCCTGCCTATCTTTCACCCGGGTCTCAGCACACACTAGGCACCCACAGAATGTTCACACATTGAGGCACAGGTGCGCCGGCTGCCTTTCATTTCCCACGGGGAACCTGTGCGACCCGGAGCTCACTTAGTCCCAGCACTGCCCAACTGCCCTGGAGACATCATCATGAATTCCCTCCTCTGAGTTGGATTCTGAGCCCTGGGTCCTTGCTGTGGTTGCTTATACGGCCCCTGGCATCTGTCCTTGGCACAGATGAGGGGTCCAGGCTGAGGCAGCTGGGTGATGCCAGGCCCCACACTGCATACACTTGGGCCTTTGTTCTCTGAGCCAGTACTGGCCATAAGCTGCCTGGGTGATGTCAGCTCCGAACAGAGGAGAACAGGGAGCTAGGGATGTGGGGAGAGCTTTCCAGAAGCCCCAGGGGCCTGGCAGGGGAAGGGCCTGTATCTTTCCTGGCCTGAAGAGTCTTCACAGGAAGGCCACAACCACCAACTGTCCCCCATAACTCTCCAGAATCTCAACTGTTGTCTTGTTTGCTCTGCTTTCTTTTTTCCTTTTTTGAGACAAGGTATCATGTACCCCAGGCTAGCCTTGAATACACTATATAGCTGAGGATACCCTTGAACTTCTAATCATCTACTCTCTGAATCCTGGGATTTCAGGCATGTGCCACCATGCCTAGTTTACCTGCTAGGGTTGAAACCAAGGGCTTCATGGATGCTAGGCAGGCACTGTACCAACTGAGCCCTAGCCCCAGACCTCGAGTTATTTTCATTTAAGAGATAAACGAACAACACACATATCTGCATTCACTGGTCTATTTCCACTCCAGGCCCTGGGGACAGAGCTTGAAAATCTTCCCTGCTCACAGAGGACCCTCGGGTGAGTGTCACCCCTTGGTCCTCTCAGCCCCTCACAGGCATCAGACCCTGCCTAGCCAGCTTTCCGTGCTGACAGCACTGGCTCCCTGGTCCACATCCATGCCCACAGCTTTACACAGAGCCCTTGACTGGAGATGCTAGGGTTCTCTCCTCCAGTGAGCGCAGTGCTGTCCTTGCACTCCAGGCTCCAGTTCCTCTGCCTGCCTGACCTCACTGCCCGCCTCTCACTGAGAAGGAAATTCCTGTTCACCTCACCTGCCTGCTTCCATCCCAGTCTTCACCACCTAAGGAAAATACCACCTCCACTCTGCCAACAGTTGGGATCCTGTGCTGGTTGGTTTTAATTGTCAACTTGACACAATCTAGAATCACTGGAAAGAGTCTCAATGAGGGACTGTCTAGATCAGGCTACCCTGTGGGCACATCTGTGGGAGACTGTCTGGATGATGTTAACTGACGTGGGAAGACCTCCCACTGTGGGTGGTACCATTCCCTGCGTGGGTCCTGCACTGGATGACCCGAATACTAGCATGCATGCATTCTCTGCTCGACTGTGGGTGTGATGTGACTAGCTGATTCAAGCTACCCCACCCCCACTCACCCGTCAGTGATGGTCTATAACCTAGAATTGTGAGTGGAATAAACCTCTCCTTAAGGTTGCTTTTGTCACAGTATTTTATCACAACAGGAAAAGAAAACTAAGACAGGCCCTAATCCTGGAGTTGTCTTTGGGTCCTTTGGTTCACTAACATCCTAAGGCTGTTAACTGGGCCTTCCTCCTCTACTGACACCTGACCACTCCCCCATCTCTGCCACCCCACAACCAGTCACCAGTGTCTGGGCCTAGGCAGTTGCAGTCACCCTGTGTGGGTTAAATGGTGCCCCCCGCAAAGCCATACTCATCCAGATGTTGGAATGTGGCCTTATTTTTTGAAACAGGGTCTTCACAGATGTGATTAGTTAAGATGAGGTCATCTGAGATGAGGAACCCTAAGTCCAATGACTACTTACAAGAGGAGGAGAGGATACAGAGAGGCCCCTGAGGACGGTGATGGAAATGGGCCACCTGGAGCCACAGTAAGCCACAAGAGGATGGTGGCTTTGAGGGAGCAAGTCCCCAGGACCCCTTGATTCTGCACTTCTGACCCCTCAAAACTGGGCTAGAATGAGGCAAATGTTTGGCAGTCAGAAGAAAAGTGTGCCCCCACCCCACGTCCCCATCCTTGCTCCCACCTCACAAAGCCAAGGGACTGCTGCAAATTCATTTGGGTCACCCTCTGTTCAACCCTATGGCTTTCCCACTCTCCTCGGAGTGGCAATGCTAAGTGTTCAGAGAACTGCCACGTGTTCCATGGGGCTGAAGCTCACAGCCCAGCATCAGACCCCAAAGTATCCTTGTACCCTTCCACGAATGCAGACTGCTGCTTTTCTTTTTTTTTAAGGAGACAAGCTCTCCCTGTGTAACCCGGGCTGGCCTTGAACTCCTGATCAAGAGTTCCCAGCACTTTAGAGTGCTGGAAAGACAGGTGTGACTTCATATGTAATTCTAGAAAAGGCAGAGCCAACCTCTGATGGAGAACAGCATGGAGCTAACCTCTACGGGCAAGATACAGCCAGGATGGAGAGTGAAGGAAGTTTCCAGAGTGTTAGGTATCCTCTGACTCTGACGCCAGTGGTAGATCTAGGTGAGTATAGACAGAAACACCTGTCACCCTTAGCATACATGTGATACGCTTCCATAGTTTCTCTAAAAGCCTCGGGCTCTTTCCAGAGATGAAACACTCCTGTGTTACTGTCCTCTTTCCAACTCCAACCTCCTCTCTTCCTCCTTTTCCTCTCAGGCTCATCCCTCTGGCCTCCAGCCTTCCCTCTGGTCCTCAAGCACATACCTACCCCAGGGCCTTTGCACTGAAGTTCCTCTGCCTACAGGACTTTCCCAGCTTCCTCCCAACCCTATCCACAGCTCTGCTTCTCTCTCAGCTTAGACAGCATTTTCTTAAAGACAAAACTGAAATGGCAGTCACCCCATCTCTCCCTCATGCATCCCCCCCATCCCCAGCTTATTTTACATCCTGCAGAGAACACAAGGCCACAGTATATATCACGTAGGACTGGAATGGCCACTGCATGAGGATAGTGACATTTGCTTTACCTGACACTGAGCCCCTCCCGATGACAGGCTCTCTACACACAAAAGCCACAGATTGAATACACAAGCCACCCATTTAACGGACACAAGTACCAAGGTCCAGAAAGTTGAAGTCTCTGAGCCCTGTAAGTAACACAGGGCATCTCCATTTGAGAACCGGCTTCTGTCTGTCCCCAGCATGGGCAGCTCCTGAAACACTCATTTGCAGCTCTTTTGCAGGTGGCCAGAAGCTGGGAGACACCAGCAAGATAGGGACAGATGGCACATGTGCAGCACCCCATACTCTTCCTCGTTCAAGCAGCCCCCAGCCAGATGTCACCAGAACAGCAGCCTGGCCCACCGGGAAGGCTGCATGGGAAGGAAGTGGGGGGACGCTTTCCTTTCCCATGCCCCCCACCTTCCTGGCCTCTTCCTGCCTCCCAGAACCCTTTCTGGCACCTTCCTGGGGAAGAGCTGGGCAGCAGGGACTAGGGCAGGGCAGGGCTACTCAAAGGTACAGGCCAGGGCAGAGCGTGGCCATCTCTGCCCCATGGGCTAGTGCTGACGTGACTTCATTACTGCCTTCTACCCACACTGTTTTATGAACACAAGTGCAAAAATCAAAGTGAGAAAATGCAGGGAGCTGGAGTGGGGGAGGCCGGCCTGGAGAGCTCTGATGGACTGCAGACAAAAATGGAAACAAGTTGGCCACTTTGCCTCCCTAGACACGCCCTGGCCCTCGGCCAAGCAGTGTAAACTTGCCAGTGCAGGAAACGAGGATGCTTGAATCAAAGGCCTGGGAACGCTCTACAGGAAGCTGTGCACAGAGGGGCCGGTCAGGAGGCAAGCGAAGTAGATCAGCTCTCCCTGCGAGCCTGGCTCACACACCTCAGCTACAGCAGTCTCCTGTTCAACTCCTGTGCTAAGTCCTGACAGGAAAGTGGTAGCCTGGGGTAGGGGTGTCCCTGGATGAATGAGCGGGGACTCAGAGGTGAGGTCACAGGATTGGAGTCCAAATGAGCTGGATCCCTTTTCAAGTACAGACTCCAAGAAAGGCACTTGGCATCATGGAATCCCCAAATCTACCTTTGGTGAAGGGTAGGAGGGGTACTCTAATATATTCTTAGAATTTTTAGTGGACATAGGGCTGACCAGAATATACTTTGTGCATGTGGCATACATATTATACCAGTACTAGAGAGGTCAAAGCAGGAAGAAGATAATTTCCAAACCAGCTTGGACTACCAAGTGAGACCACATCTTAAGGAGGTAGGGTTGGGGGTGGAAAGCAAAATGGCTCAGTGGGTGCATAAGCCTGACAACTTGAGTCCGATCCCCAGAACCCACTTCCATCCCCTACACTTTAGACCAGGAATTGGAGATCAACCCTAATCTGGTCCTCTGCCCATTTCTGTACACAGAGCTTTACTGGAACACAGCCCAGGTCCTTATACATTCAATATGGAGATGAGTGAAAATGACAGGGACTGCAGGGTACAAATAGCCCAGAAAACCCACCCACTGGCCCCCATAGACAAGATCAGCCACCCTTGGGAGCTGACAACCCAAGGAGGGCCTCAGGGTCCACTACAGCTCTCTTGAAGCCAGAGAGTCCTCCTGTGGGAGCTCCAGGCACTCAGGCTGGGCACTTACCAGGAGGAAGGCCCGCGCGGCAGGGACCTTGTTGAGCTCCACCAGCAGCCGCAGGGCCTTCTCATGGTTGCTGCAGTATTCTTCATACACACAGAACTTGTCCTTCTGCAAGACAAGGGCAGCACTGTGAGAGGCAGGCAGAGGCAAGAGGTGGCACCCCCTGGGGCCCTGGAAAGTCTAGGGCCTCCAGGTGAAGTGGCTCTAGCTTGCTTTATGGGGCCCACTTGCCCCACTTGTGTCCAGCAGCCTGAGTGACCTTTTGGGAAGCAACACAACAGGGGGATCCAGGGCACAGATTGAACAAGGCGGCCTGAGCCGGGACACTGGCTCTGTATTTCCTACTGTGAAATGGGGCGACTTTCCTGCTCCCGACCCTGTGCCTCAGTGTCCTCCGCAAAGCGGTGCTAAAAAATATCATGGGGTTGTTCCACCAGGAGGATACCTCTTGTTGACCTCTGGGTCCAAAGTTGGACTCCTTCCAGCCTAGAGGTCACCTGAAGGTCACCAGGTCTCTGCCCAGCAGTCAGGATTCCAAAACTGGAAGGAACAGAGCTCTCTTCGCAGGAAGCCCTGGCTAAGTGTTCCCCATTCCAAAAGAATCCAGAACCAGCCACATCCCAAGAAAGGATGTCCTGGGGAAACCCCTCAGGGAGGAAGGGCTGCAGGGCCTGGACCTGGACGGGAGGGTGGGCCAGAGACCCCAAGAAGCCAAGGAAGGAAGAGGTGGGTCTTGTTTCTAAAGAAGCCCCAGCTGTCCACACTTCCTACAGAGGTGGAGGGAAGAAGGAAGCCAGAGGAGGGGGACAGAGGAGGGAGACGGAGGAGGGAGACCACTTCCAAATCAATGGGAGCCTAGGAGGGAGGCAGATGAAGGAGCCTGAGGAAGGAGACAGGAAGGAGATAGAGGAAGGAAGTTTCTGAATCAACAGGGACCCCAGCCCATAGCACTCAGGCCTCCACACAGATCTGAGCACACATCTTGAGGACCAACAAGCCTACAGCCAGAGGTGACTGCCACACCAACAATGTGCCAAAGCATGGGGTTAAAGCCACTCTCTTCTCTCAACCAGTTTGACAGTCATTCCTCATCATATCCCATGAGGTTAGTGCCGAACCATCCACCCGAAAAGCAAGATAAAGCCTCTTGCCCAGTGTCTCACACCTCCTGATATGGCAGGACCAGGGGCCTGTCGTGGTATGAGATGGGGATGAGAGTCAGGCAATGCACAGGGTAGAAATCTCAAGCCAAATTCACAGGCTAAGCCCCAGAGGTCCCTTCACCATAGTGAGGAAACAAGCCCAGCATCACACTCCGAGTAGCGGGTGACCCCAGCCAAGGTGCTCCACAGCCCTGAACCTAGGTTTCCTGCCTGTGAATAACACATGCCTGACACTTGGCCCACTGACAGGTTAAGTGACACATATAATCTGAGAACAGCCTGGCATTGAATAAGCATTATTGGGCACAGCAAGTATCTCCAAGGAGTCACTACAAAGAATGCAAGCAACGAACACCAATTGTTGGAAAAAGTATCAATATAAACAATGGCACAATTACCCAGCATGCTGACACTTACACACACTACAAGAAAAACAGCTCTGCCCACCATGGTGTCACACCACATAGGCTTCATGCTCCAGACACTACAGACAGCAGCTGCAATGCACAGAACCACATGAAGTCAGGAGACAACCTCCATCCCCAGGCTGTACAGCACATCACGTTGGTGGCACACAAAAGCAAGGGAAGAGAGGCGGGGAACCCCAGCCGGCACCCTACACCTCCCAGGCAGATCTTTTCCATCTTCACTGGTCTCCGGTTGAGTCCAGGAAATCACAAAGGCAACGGAGAGGACTGAGGAGACATGTGGACGGAGGGGCCAGCCCGGCCACACGGCAAGCTGGCAGTCCTCCAGAGGGGGCTGCCAGCACCTCCTGGATCCAGGCCCCAGGTGGATTCAGGAAGAGGAAGAGGTCCAAGAACTGCCCAGGTCTCTGCTGGGCCATAGAGGAAGGGCTGGGCTTGGAAGACAGCTCCTGAGTCAAAGCGAACCTGAGGTGGCTGGTGCCTGGGCCATGTGCAAGCTTTGCTTCCCCTCTATGTACTGCCATGGAGACAGGCTTGTACCTGCGGAGGCCATGGCTGTGGTGTGATGGGGACTGTATGTATTTGACAAACAAAAACGAGAAATCAGAGGGAGGAACTGAGAAGCCAAGTAGACCTGCTCCAAGCTTCTTTCCAAACTGACCCACCCTTCCTTGGGCACAAGTGAGCATGTGATCCAGGCTATAAAATATCCCACCACAGGACTATGTGTTTGAAGATGTGGTTCCCAGATGGGGACACTGTTTGGGTACCCCTGGCTGGACCTGGAACTCAATATGTAGACCAGGCTGTCCTGGAACTCACAGATCTGCCTGTCTCTGCCTCCTAGGTGCTGGAATTAAAGGTATGCGTCACCAAGCCAGCTCACCATGGAACCTTTAGGAGACAGGGTCTGGCCAAAATAAGTGGGTGATGAGGGGGTAGGCCTTGAGGGCTGTAACCTGGCCCTGCATCTGGCTCAGGCCCTCTGCTTCCTGGGCCACAGATACGTAATGGGTTACTATGGACCAGCCGCTCAACTAGCATGTCCTTCCCACCACAATGGACCATATCCCCTGAACCATGAACCAAAACAAACCTTTCCCCCTTAAACTGTTTCTGTCTGGTGTTCTATCAGTGCAAGGAAAAGCAAATGACACCCAAGCCATTCAGAGCTGTTCTGGCAATATGGAGCCCTTAAAGAAAAAGAAGGGTCTTTGAACTGTGGCTGCTGAGCTGACAGCATGAAGCTGCTTAGGGTTATCTCAGCCATCACAGGAGCTGTCCCCCTAGGTACCACCACCATCACATACAGGAAACAGCGCAGGAATGGAAAAAATCAGGGCCTAAAAATGTCCTATGGGCTGCTGGACCTGACCATGCCTGAAGCCAACACTCATCCCTGAAGATTTTGCTTACATGCACCAAAAAACAAAGTCCTTTGCTTAAGCCTACCTGAGTTGGCACATCTGTAATTTACAGTGAAGACCCTCTTGACCAGCCACATTCTAAGTGGAGAAAATGAAAAGCCTGGGCCCAAGAGTAATAAGGGAGTCTCTCTGTCCACCTCCATCTCCACCATGGTGCGCTGGGCCAGAAAGCAAGGACAAGTCTATCTCTTTATCACATGCCAACCCATCAACTCTGCTGGAGGTTACTGCCAAGGACTCTGGGAGCCCCAGGGCCCAGCAGAACACTGTGATTTATTAATAATGTCTGCCACAGGTGGGGTTGGGAAGAAAGGAATAGGATGCCTCATCTCTGACAGTCTGCAAAGTCATCTTCTCGGAGGGCAGAGCCCATGCCCACTGCCTGCAGCAGCAGCTCCAGGTAGCAAGCAGCACCCTCAGCTCCAAATCCAGCCATCAGTCACCCCTGCCTTTGCATCAAGCCATCCAGCTGTGGCTCAGGCCTTGTCTTTACAGATGTGGAAGCCCTGTTCCAACAGCTCCACATCCAATGCTTGACTTTTCTCTCAGAGGGCTGGAGGAGCTGGGTGTTGTTACCAGGAAGGAAGAGACACATACATGGCTACACTCACAGCTGTGGTGGGTGGGGACAGACAGATGTGGGTCTGGAACAAGAAGGGGACAACGCGTAGGGGAGCCACGAGGACTGTCCCCACTGTCCAGAGCACTCCTCACCACAGCCAGAAAGGCCGAGGAAGGGTAGGAAGCAACCAGACTATGCAGATTTCCTATGGGAGCAGAAGAGGCAGGGTTCCATCTACAGGAGTCCCCAACCAGTTGCCTGTCCACACAGCTGTGTGTGTACAGAACAGAGCTCATGAACCCTCAGCCTACAACTCTCAGAACAAAACCTGCCATCTTGGCTTTGGTCATGAAGCCCCACAGGACCTGGCCCCGTGTCATCTCACGTCTCCCCAACATTCGCCTATGTCACCAGGACCTCCTCTGCCCTCGACCAGTCAGAACACCTTCCCTTAAGTCACCCCATCTCACCCCTGGGACACACAGGACACTCAGGTAACCCTTCATCTCAGATGCATGACAGGTCATTATTTAGTGTGCTGTCCCAAATACTTCGTGGGACACAATTATGCTCAAATATAACCTGCCGTTCACCTGAAAATCTGCCGTGTGCTGTGGACTTGTTTGCTCCACCCAGCAGTCCTGACCCTGAGGGGCCGCTGGAAGCAGCGTGGAACAGTCAGTCAACGACACCTCCATCTCATATCCAGCACCATCTGAAATGACGTCCCCTGTCATTCACTCTCCATGCCTGCAGCTGGCGAGGTCACCAGCAGAAGGGAGCAGGTCTGCTTTGCCTGATGCCACAAGCTCAGGCCCACTGTGCCTGTCACTCAGAGGCCATGTCACTCAAGACAGGAACAGACTCCTGAGTGGGGATGTCTCCGGCCTAATCCCAGTTCTTACATGACTAGCCACATAAACTTATCTATATCTGAGTCTCTCTGGGCCTCAGTTTCCCCATATGTAAAATAGGTGGTAAAAGTATCTGCCTTTAGAGGCTCTTATGAAGTCTGGGGGTTTTGCTTTGAAACATATGTCTCATTCTTTAGCCCAGGCCAGCTCTGAACTGACCACATAGCCAGGGCTGCTTTCAAAGCTGTGGCAATCCTTCTGCCTTAGCCCTTCCCTATGCTGAGAATACAGGACTGAGCCACTTCACCTGGCTGTCATGCAGTTTTAATGAGCTGGTATTCATGAGGTACTTACAGCAGCACCCGACACAGAGGAAAGGGCCACTTAATGCTCATCTGTGTTAAACTCAGTGCTCACTGATTGGGTTTGGGGGAGGGCCAGGAACTCTTTCCAGGCACTGACGAGGCTGTCAAACCCCTGCTCAGCCCCCGAGTCTAAGAAAGACACTGTCCCAAAGTGGGGCCCCTTTGCTGCCACTGTGTGTGAAGGACCCTGAGGCCACTCCAGCTCTGACATCCTTCCAGACGGGACCAGCTTAGCCTGGCAAGGCACCTGTGCAACCTCACCTGTATTCAGTGCTCCCCGAACTCCCAGGCCACCCTCACACCAGCCTCCCACTGCAGTGAAAATGAGCAGCCCAGACTCACCACCTCCAGAAGTGTAATGGTGCCACATTTTAAATTAAAACATAATTCAGAGTGAAAAACACTGACTCACACTGCTTCTGCCGCTGCTGGATCTGCCTCCAGGAGGGGCTCAGCCAGGTGCAACAGGCACAGCCAGAGTCTTCTCTGGAGTCTGCCTTTTCCCAGTTTTTTGAGAAACAGTCTAAGTAGCCCAGATAGCTTGGAACTCCTGAGCCTCCTATCTCAGTCTCCTGAGAGCTAGAATTACAGACTGCCATGCCTGGCCCAGGAACTGCCCCATAATGAGCTCTGGGTCTAAGGCCGATTCGCCAATGCAGAAGGCATAAACAGGATTTCCAGTGCCTTTGCTCACACGAGAACCTTCATTGCAGCAAGGGGCGTCTGCTTTTCTTTCCAGCAGGCATACTACGTTCCCTTGCTTAGTATGTTTGTTCAAGGTTCATAAATGAACTAATTTTAAATGATTAGGCAGTAACACCAGCAGACAGATACAGCAAAAGCCACAACTGCATTCGAACCAGTGACCTGAAGAAGTCTAGCTCACTGCTAAGAAGCCCAGTTCAGTCACTTACATAGCCATGACCTTGGGCTTGACCTTCTTCAGTCTGCTGGCCTATGGAATGGGCAGATGAACTTGGGATAATCTCATTTCTTTTCTAAAACTTACGTTTATTTATTTATGCTTGGTGGGGAGGGCACACATTCCATGGCACACATGCGGTGGCCAGAGTTCAAACCACAGAAATTGGCTCTCTCCTTCTACCATGTGGGTTCTGGGGATCTAACTCAAATCGTCAGGCTTGGTAGCAAGTGCCTTTCTGCACCGAGCTGTCCAGACTCTCTTATCTCTGATGTAGGGACATACTAGAGAGCACAAAGTCCCCACTTATGTGTTGCTAGTACTCTAGAGGAAGACCCCAAAACAAAAAGGAGCAAAATGGGGGCAAGTCACTGGTGAAGACAGAAAACAGTGGAGAGGAGGGCAGCAGGCAGAGCTCACAGCTCCATGAAGGAGAGAGGGAAGGTCATACAGAAAGGGACAGACGGGGACAGAGAAGACAGGGCCAGGAGGGGAGCGGAGGGATCTCTGGGGAAACCTACTGAGAGACCTGCTGGGGGAAAGCCTAGAATGTTCTAGAAGGACTGGTATGTCCAAGTGAGGGGTGAGGTTCCAGGAGGAGCTATGGAGAGTTCTAGAAAAGGAAGGAAGCAGTCAGGTTGTTTCTGGCAGGTCTCTTGCAGCCCAGGGGAGACACTGTATAAAACTCTCCATTTCATCCAAGGCCTTGCCCTCCACACAGGGAGGCTGGAAGGATTTGTCCTACTGAGGCCCAGGGGCTCACAGGAAGTCACTGAGAGCCTGTAGTGAGGCCTCAGGCCTGGGAACTTTGCCCCAGGGACTCTTGGGAGGTGGGCAGGAGTGCCAGGCCACAGGCATGGATACACGGCATGGCTGAGCCAACACTAACAGTGTCCTGCCTTCACTGTCCCAGCCACCCTGGAAAGGACTCACCATCCCACCCTCTATTTTGCTTCCCACTGGTGTGGGTCACTCACACTAGACAAATGTCCCACCACTGTCTACACCCTCAACCCTCTTTCTGCCTTTTCATTTTCTCTGCATGTCACTAAATTGTCTAAGCAGGCCTTGAATTCACTCTGTAGCCCAAGCAGACCTGGAATTTGCTTCAACCCCACCCCACCCCCAGTAGCTGGGGTAACAGGCCTACAGCACCAGGCCCAGCCTCACCATCCCTTTTGTGGTTTAGTGGGTGTTTTTTGAGAGATTTTTTTTTTTTTTGAGACAGGGTCTCCCTGTAGCCCCAGCTAGCCTGGAACTTGTTATGTAGACCAGGCTGGCCTTGAACTGACAGAGATCTGCCTGCCTCTGCTTCCCAAGTGCTGGGACTAAAG